GTATTAATGCATTCAATCAAAATATCAAATCAAATATGAAAAGATATTAACACACATGAGATATCATAAAAGGCAAGGTATGCCCATGCAGACACATATTTAATTATGGGCATGAATATCTTATGTAGGACTTGGGACAATTCTGTCCATTGTTCATATTAGAACACATCGTAGTTCTATCACTTTATCCACCTGCATGGTTAGTGATCAATATAAACATAATTTGTCCATGTGGACCTGGGAGTGGTTCTGTCCGTCGTTCCATTTGTGTGGTTAGTCATCAACAAAACGAAGCACGACTTAACTTCCTTTCCTCCAATCACTTATAGATCAAAAGTAATACTAGTTGTTTGTCATCAACAAAACAATATGTTCCAACAAGATGCCTTACTAATCAACTATAAGAGTAAGACAACCAAGGGGAGCCCAACAAAGGCAGTGGATAGAATAACAACGGGCAGAACAATAACAAGGCCATGTGATTGGGTAGTGAACAAACTCAAGAGGAATTAATAGGAGTACGGCTAAACTTAGGGTGCAGGCCTTAACACAAATAAGTGGAAGGGAGTCCTTGGTAGGACCAATACCTCCAACATTCTCCACCTTATTGGTCCTAGGTGGTGTAGAGTAACAAATACACGGTTGTGAGGAGACTCGTCATCGCTGAACCATTACAAGTACATCATTGCGATCATACAAGTAATAGATGAGAACCAAAGTTCCCTTTCGGACCAAGCTTAATTACCATGCAAACCCAATTCACGATGGACTGAACTCTACCAATCGGTCCTCGAGTTCAGAACCATAATCATCACAAAACTATTAACAAGCACAACACATGTTAATAGACCACGCAAGCAAGCATCCGGGAGAAGTTGGGGATTCCAACTAATCCAACAACCACACAAAGCAAATACAAAGAAAATAAAAGAAACAATATTATTTCTATAACTAGCACAGGCAGAGCTCACATAATCATTTGGTATCACATTTTCAAAACAAAAGAAAATAGCATACCAAACATCACAAAGATTTTAATTAACAAAGAATTAAGCACAGTTAAAGCAAACTCAGAGGAAATATAGTCAAACATATTGCACCTATTATTTCTCTCATGCTCCATAATGTCTCTATCTCTAATATCATGGCAATCACGCAACTCAAGCATATTGCACATAACATTCATATCAGGCTCCACCTTAATAGAAATATTATTTTCTTTATTTTCACCATGAAAATTATTTTCAATCACAAATTTGGGTTCGGTTTCAACAAGTAAATCAGAATTAACTTCAACAGGAAAATGCTCCACCTCATTTGGAGCAACATCAGGAGAAACAAGCAAGCAAGGAAATTCATTTTCAACAAAAAAGACATTTCTACTCATCAACACATTGAAGCAAGTTTCACTCCTACACCAAAACCTATAACCTTTCATGCAATCATGATATCCTAAGAAAACATATTCCTTAGTCCTAGGTTCAAATTTATCATTCTCACGATTCACATAAGCAGCACAACCAAACACTCTCAAATTTGGCAAGTTAAGTGGTTCGCCCGTGAACACAGATTCAGGGCATTTCCCTCCTAAGGGAACAGACGGGGACAAATTAACCAAATCAACAGCATAACAAATAGCTTCCCCCCAGAACTTATTAGAGAGCCCAGATGAAGCTAACATAGCCCTCTCCCTCTCTAATAAAGTTCTAACCATCCTCTCAGCAACTCCTTCCGGTTGGGGTGTGGAGGGAACAGATGTATGCATAGAAATACCCCAAGTATCACATAAATCACCAAGCTGATTATCACAGAAATCAAAACTGACAGTGATCCTTAAAAATTTAATTTTCTTACCGGTTTGTTTTTCAATAAGGGTTTTCCAGTTTTTAAACTTATCAAAAACTTCAGATTTATTCTCAATCAACAAAACTCACACTTTCTTTGAAAAATCATCAATCAACGTCAGAAAATAATTTTTCCCACCATGAGTGGAAACACTATAAGGACCCCACAAGTCAGCATGAATACAATCAAGCACATTAGTACACTTAGGCAGATCAGGAAACCAACTCTAGACTGTTTTCCTAGCACACAGGGTTGTACACAATTCACAGAATCAAGTAGGGGTTCAGCATGACAAACATACAAGTTGTTTTTCATCTCAGCTTTGAAAACAACTAAACAACTCTTCACAACTTTCATGATTAACTTTCTCCATTTTCGCTTCAAACCCTCATTTTCAAGAGAAGCACATGATAGCAAATTACAGTACAGCTCAGGAACATGCCTAACATTCTTCAAAGTAAGCACATAACCAGAAGAGAACCTAAGGCACACATCTCCTATTCCTAGCACATTGCATTTCTTCTCATTTTCTAAAGACACAAAGTCATGCTCAATCTCTCTATAGTTTGAAAAAAACATTTTTCAAAGGGGACATATGAAAAGTACAACCAGAATCTACCACCCAATCTGATTTACCCAAAGAATCATATATCACAGAACTCAAATAGTCATATTCACATAGATTTTTCATCATAACAACATCACCTAAATCATCTTCACACGTAGTCAATTTAGCATGCTCACTATGCTCATTTTTCCTAGATTTAGGACAGTCTCTTATGAAATGACCAGGTTCATGACAATAATAGCAACGCCTCGAATTAGACCTAGACTTAGATCTATGTCGTCTACTATTATTTTCTCTACCCCTCACATGCATAACTTCCTCGGATTTTCTACTCTCACCCATCTGTTTTAAATCTAATTCCTTACTCTTAAGACCATTTACCACAATGTCAAGAGTCACATTATCTCTACCATACTTAATAGCAAATTTCACATCACCAAAGGAATCAGGAATAGCATTTAAAAGAGCAATAGGGGAATAATCATCTATATGTTTATCACCACACAACTTAATATCCGAAATAAGTTTGGTAAAAACATCTAGATTTTCTTCAATATCTATAGACATATCTAGTCTAAATTTGAAGAACTTTTCAAGTAAAAATATCCGGTTAGGCAAAGAGGTCTCAGTATACTCAGTTCATTCAAATTATTCCACAGAATTTTAGCACTCTCTAAAATTCCAACTTTTCTAATCACAGAGTCAGATAAGTTCAAATAAATCACAGAACATGCATTTTCATTCATTTCAGCCCTTTTATCTTCCGTGTCAGAAATTAAAGAGGTTTCGCCAACTGCTTTAAAACATTTTTGTTGTATTAAAATACATTTAACTTTTTGTTTCCAAATGCTAAAATCAGATTTTCCATTAAATGGAGCCATACCATACTGATATAAGCAGACATTTTCACAGAGAAAAACAAGCAACAAAATAAAATGTAAATTTCGCTGAAAAACAATTTAAATATTTATAAGGCTACAAATATACGGAGCAACTAGCACGAACACGCGGGGAGTATTAATGAGCACCAAACTCAAGTTCAAACCCCTTGTTCTTCCGTAAGCACAAATAAATAATAAATTTTCAGCACAAACAACACAACAATTCTATCAATTTTAAAAGCAATAAACCTAAAAAAGGATTTCTACACAATAAAAGACTATAAAATCACTACAAGAGCGATAAAAAGGTTTAAAGTCAATTTACCGGAGTGAAACCCTAGGAGAGGCGTTTCGACCTTACTCACCCAATTAAAATTGGGAATTTTCGGACTGTTAACTGCCTTTGACCGGTGTTGACCAGCAACCCCAGCAGTCCAAGTCACCAGCCCACTTCAGCCCAGCAACAGTCTCCTGCTCCAGCTTTACTGTTGCTCCAAGTGCTCTAGCCAGTCCAAGTGCAGCTCAAATCCAACCCAAGTTGAAGCCCAGCAGTCCAAATGGCCCAGCCCAGCAGTTCCTTCAGCAACCCAGTGGACCAGCTCCTCTTTAGAACTTAGCTTTCCTTCAACGCGAGTGCAGTGAACAGTCGACACCTCCAAAGTCAGCTCTGCTCCAGTGAAGGGAAATGTCCAGCGACACTCAGCCTCCAGCCACTGCGTCAATCCCGCGGCCAAGCCTCTGCCTCATCGTCCAGGTACATCGGAGCCACAAACCTCCGACCAGCTTCCAACGAACGACTTCAGCGACGAGATTCCAGGTCCAGCCTCGAGCTCAGCAAACCAGCGACGAACGGCGAGCTCTCTCTCCGGTGACGACTCCGAGGTGGACTCAGGCTTCAGCGGTAAATGATTTCAGCAGCAAAGCCGTCAGTGAGCAACTACCTCTCTGGCGACGAAGGTGAACTCAATGGCGAGGACGAGTCGTGAGAAGACCTCCACTGTCTTTAATCAACGACCAGCAACCTCGAACGACGGAGAACGGAGGCGGACGGCGGCAGACGGCGGAGGAGTACGGTGGCAGGCGGCAACCAAAACAACTCAGGTCTCCAACCACTGTTGGGTTTGGGTGTGTATTTCAGCTCAGGTCTCCAACCAAAACAACTCACACACACCAACCCAGGATGTTTAGCCACTCCACCGCTCACCAAGTTTAGCATACTCTATCCTCACCTCTCTAGCTCTCACTCACAAAGAGGAAACTATCAGGAAGAAGACACTCACTAAACTGTTTCACACTCATTCACACATCACGCACAGTGAAGAAGAGAAGTTTGTATGCCACACCCATTACAAAGGATAAGAGTCAACTCTTATAGCAAAGGAAAATATGCCTTACTAATCAACTATAAGAGTAAGACAAATCAAGGGGAGCCCAACAAAGGTAGTGGATAGAATAGCAACAGGCAGAACAATAACAAGGCCATGTGATTAGGTAGTGAACAAACTCAAGAGGAATTAATAGGAGTACAGCTAAACTTAGGGTGCAGGCCTTAACACAAATAAGTGGAAGAGAGGCCTCCAACAGACTTTCAATAGTACAATATGTTAAAATGTATAGTAGGAGTTTATGCCTACTAAACATGTACTAAGAATTATTTAAGTGGTAATATTGGCCAGAAATAAGAAACTAACAATAAATTTGGGCAGGACGAAGATGGGGCAAATACTATGTTGGCCCAATCCAATTGCTAATATGCTATGGCGCAGTCATCGGCAATACTTTGCTGGGAGGACAGTGTCTCAAGGTTTGTCACAAAAGTTGCATGGACTATAAGTGAAGTTTGAATATGAGTTTTAGAACTCGATATGATCATATGTCGTATTTTGTTTCGTTGAAAGCGTTTTTTGTCTCGTTAGAAAGTTTCTATCGAGTTTTAAAAGTCTTCAGAGTGAATTCGGCAGTGTTTTTGAATTTTAGTGTGAAACACATCTATTTATATTCTCCTAATTATATTCTCCAGCTTTTTCTCAAAACCTAAATTTAGAAGTATAAAATTTGGAGCATATATACCTCTTGGGCGTCTAGGCTCTTGCCCTCTTGGTCTCAAACAAATTTTAGTTCCCTTCCCGCATTGGCTGATGTTAAAAAATGCTCTATCTTTCATATTGAAATTTGTATTTTTTCGTTTAAATATAAAGCACATTCAATTAGATTTTTAGGTATAATAATTTAAGTAATTGCTTTAGTATGTTAGTATTTTATTATTAGCATTGTTGCAGACAATTTATATGCTGTCAAATCCAAACGGGGACATGAGACTGTATGAATTTGTGGGTATGCTTGGGCTGGTGACGTTGGTGTTGGCCCAAATCCCATCTTTTCACTCCTTGAGACACGTAAACTTGGTTTCTTTGCTGCTAAGCCTTTCTTATAGTGCCTGCGCCACGGCGGGTTCCATCTATATTGGTATGCAAATAATATTCATACCCCAAAAATAAATGGAATAAAAGCTTGTTTTGATTATTTTACAATTAGCTAAAATGGCCTTGTATTAAAGCTTTAGTCATTTCTGTCAAAAAAGTAACCCAATTGTCTTCATCTTTACTAATTTTGATTATTTTACAATTTACCGCGTAAAACCAAAAGTTACATGTTTGAAAAAATTGATTCTCAAGTCTGATAAGCTGAATAGAGAGATTGCTGAAATGGCTCTTAGTAAAAGATATTTTTCGATCTTTTTAGTGATAACGACGTAGGGTCCACAATCTAAACCTAAAAGGAAAAGATTGTGGGTGTGTTTGGATAACGACGTTTCAACTAAAACTATAACGATTTGACCACTTCTAGCGTTTTCTATAGGTGGAAGCGATGATTCATGTTGTTTGAAAATGGGTATTTAGCTCTTGCTTTTTTGGACGGAATTGTTGAATTAAAACATTGCAAATAACAATATTTTAGGTTTAGCATTTTGAAACAAACATATTGAATCTACTAATCAAATCCGATGACAAAAACCGCTACTACATATCAACCATCTGTTTGGTCCTCCTACTCTATGTATCCTTTTCATTCTAATAAATTGGTGGAGTGTTCCCTGACCCCCACGGCCCCACTCCAAAAGTCTTGTGGGCTTTTGGAAACTTCCGGGTCAAAAAAATCAACCATCCGTTAAAAGTTGATTGTTAAATTGTTCTATGACTATTTTTTTTAGACAAAAAAGTTTATGACTATCTTTTTTAGACAAAAAAAAGTTTATGACTATTTTTTTTAGACAAAAAAAAAAGTTTATGACTATTATTATGTTACTGAAAACAGGAGTTTCATCGAAAGGGCCAAATAAGGATTACAGTGTGAGTGGGGATAAGGAAACACGTATTTTTGGCATATTTAATGCTGTAGCTATCATCGCCACTACCTACGGCAATGGCATCATTCCTGAGATTCAGGTCCCTCATCTTTGCCCCTACCTTTCTCCCATTTTATTTAGATTTGCATGTGTATTTACTGGGAAAATTTTTCTTTTACATAACTCCATTCAATGCAACAATGATATGGATTGAGAATACATATACTTCCTCCATTCTCTTTAGTTGTAATGTTCACTTTTCACGTTTTTCAACGCACAAATTTGACCATTAATATCTTTCATTTCTTATTAGTTAAAAAGTTTAAAAAAAAAAAATATTTTGAAAATTTAAAATAAAAGAAACTTAACAATGTTTTTTAAAAAATTACTCTACAATACCTTAATAAGGAAAATATAATCAAAGTAGAGTATTTGAATAGCGAAAATTCACCAATGTTATAAATCCTTGTCAATCTCAAACAGACTAATAACTAATATTTCAAACCAGACTAGCTCCGTTCGATTAAACCCTCCTACTAGTAACTACATTATATTAGTGCAGGCAACATTGGCTCCACCAGTGAAAGGGAAGATGTTGAAAGGACTTTGTATTTGTTACGCAGTAGCGACCGCAACTTTCTTCAGTGTCGCCATTTCTGGCTATTGGGCATTTGGGAACAAGTCCAAGGCTATAATCCTCAGCAACTTCACTGCAACTACACATGATAATAACAATTATTTTTTGGTTCCCAAAGCTTTCGTTTTAATCACCAACCTGTTCGCCATTTTGCAACTCTCTACTGTGGCTGTGGTAAGAATTGCATGATTCACCCCCCCCCCCCCCCCCCCCTCCCTATGTGCTTGCTCTCTAATCTCTATGTGACGTACCTTGAAAATCTGTTGATCATTTTTGCTATATTATAGGTATACATGCAGCCAATAAATGAGTTGTTAGAAAGAAGGTTTGGGGATCCTAAGAGTGAAGAATTCTCTACCAGAAATGTGATTCCAAGAGTGTTATCAAGATCGCTGTCAGTCGCAGTTGCCACCGCATTAGCTGCTATACTGCCGTTTTATGGAGACATGGCTGCTCTTATTGGTGCAATCGGATTTATGCCGCTGGACTTTGTGTTACCAGTTGTTTTCTTCAACTTAACGTTCAAACCTTCAAAGAGGAGTGCTGTTTTCTGGCTAAATGTGGGTATAGCTGTGGTGTTTTCCATGGTGGGAATAATTGCAACAATTGCTGCTATGAGACAGATCATTCTTGATGCTAAAACCTATAGATTATTCGCTAATGTGTGATTAACTTTAGTTGAGCAACAATGAAGGTGGGCAGGTTTCAGCATTTCTTGTGGGGCCATTATATTTGCTTTTCACCAGTATTTAGAAAGATGGCATGATTATATGACTAAAATGGCTTACTATGTTGAAATTGTGACAGAAACTACAGAATTATCTACAAGTCAAACTCTGTTATCGATGTTATACTAAAGAATAGAATGTCTAAAAGGTTAGTAGTAGACATGTTTCAGTTCATTTTAGGAAAAAACGTGTACTTTTAACTTGTCGATCTAATATAGTTAATGCTGCCAAATAAGTCAGTCCCGTGTGCCAGTTTAAAAATAAACCAAATCTGACTGATAAGTTTAAGGGAAATTTCCCTATATAGGACTACAAGAGTAATAACATTCTGGGATTTCAAAATTAGACTACTATATTTTTCTTCCCGAAAAAGGGGCCTTACTGGCATGATCTAAAAATATTGCCATTTATGGCAATAAATACAGTCATGCTAATGCTAAGTATTGCAACTACTTTGGCAGTAATGACTCCAAGATGACAATAAATGCTACCATCTTACTCTTATTTTGAGAAGAAAAATATAGCAATCCTAGTTTAGAATTCCAAAATCTGTTTAGTCCGATTTCGGGAACATTCCTAGAGTTTGAAACTAACATGATTTGAATGATAAACAAAAACGGGGTGCTATGAGTTTGAATGATTTGAATGATTTGGTTTATTATGTTCTTTTATGAGTTTGGCAGCGAGTAACGTTGTTCACACTTCACAAAGATAATGACCACTTGCTCAAAGAAGCATTAGAGCTTCCATAAACCAAAATCCTCAGCTTAACCAGCTGATATGACTAACTTTCACTAGTGACTACCATATTGATAAATCGCTGTCATCATTAGTTGAGTTTTGAATGAAAAAAAAAAAAAGACAAAATGAATAACTGATCAATTATATGTATTTCACTCATCTTCATATGTATGCCCATAAAGCTTTTGCCAATGCAAGGATGCTTCTTCTGGCGTCCGAAAAGTCCATATGTGAGGCTTGGTTTTCTCACGCTTTTCCAAAATTTCCTGTTGGAAATCCAAAAAAAGAAAGATAGTATCATGTAGGTGATATAATATGAACTTCAAATTGTGAACGTAGTACTCTCAATTGGAAAATATCCAAGTGATATTCCCCCATGAAGTCTTAGAGTAGCCTAGTAATATGCTACGAAGTATTATTATATGCTACAATGAATGGAACAATAAAGATCGATGAAATTATTGTGTTTCAGGGTCCTATGGAAATCAAGGGTCCTGAGCTTGTTGTGTGGATGTAACAAGGATGTTTTTATTGATTCAATATTTGAACATTGATGTTAATTTATATATATTGAATAACATAATACTTCCTCCGTTTTTAAATAATTGCAACAGTTTCCCTATTTGGCAGTTCCAAAAAAACTGCATCACTGCTAATTTAGGTAATTGTCTACAATACCCTTACTCATACCAAAAGTAATCATTACCATCACTTCTCTCTCTTTAAAAGCACCACATACCCACACTCTACTCCCACTCCCCCTCTTGCTATTTTCAATTTATCTTTCTCTTCCTATCACTGATGTACCCCAAGCCACTACCATCATCCATCTCTGTCATTTTATCATTTCCTCATACATACACAACCTTATCTAATTCTCTTATCCCTATTTTTCTTCCTGTGTGGTAGAACTAAGCGAAAGCTCTCATGAATGGCAACAATGAAGCATTACGGAGAATTCCCCTAAAGATTTTATTTCTATTCATTTTTCTTCTTCTGTTATGTTGGGGAACCCATCTGATGCTCCCAATGGTGACAAGGAATTGCTACTTAGGACTCACCTCTAGATGTAAAAACCTCCGTTCACAGGCAAATTTGGTTCCTCTATAGAACTTTTTCTGTAGCAAAAGCCAACGGTGGCTGACAGCACATATTTCATTACTATATTACTTTTATCTTCCCATGAGTATTCTTGTGGATAAGAATGGAAAATAGAAATCAAACCCCGTAAACCTAATTTCTGTGCCTAGATCCATGTTGCAATTATATTCGAATGGAGGGAATACTACTTGAATAAATTGACGCCACTAGTACTACAATCTGGCTCCATCCCTGTCTAAGGCATATACAGAGATGGTTAAAAGAGACGGTTAAAAGAGAAAAATGGAATGTAGCCAGAGCTACAAATCACGGTATATGCAGCAAGCATACCTCCACTTCAGCTTGCGACTTGGTTTTTAGTCTCAAACAGTCATAAAGAGCACTCCATTTATTTGAACAGTTGTCAAGTTTACCCAGCCTATAGTACTGCTGCATTTGATGGACCGGAGCTGCCACAGACATAATTTACACACTCAGTGAAGTTAAAAAGTTAAGCTGTGTCAAATTACAATCTCACACATATTAAACTTCATAAAAATTAAATATACAAAATTACAAATACTAAGATTAAATCACTGTCATCAGAAATTCAGAAAGAAATTGATAGTAGCAACTCCTTTCAGATTGTGGTGATTAGTCTATGAACAACGAGAAAACCTAATAAACGTGTAATTCCTGCCATTATTTTTCTGCAGGTTCCTTTCTCTACTCAAGATCCCTAATTCTATTACGCATATAACAAGCAAAGCTGGATTTTAAGTAATGAAAAGAAATATCTAAAATTGGAGATAGGAAAGAGCATACTATAGCAGAACCAGAGTGCATCGAAACAGGCTGAGCACGATAGCCGCCGACGTGGTTCCTTTTCTGAGCTCATAGTGATAAACTCTTGCAAAAAAATAGTGTTGATAACGATTCAGTGTCGGAACTCTTCCTTCTAGAACTTCATGGTTTTTCCTTTGAAACAAACCAGGCATCAAATTATCTTATCCACATTAGTGATCCTTCCACTTGGATTTACAAGAATTAGGAATGAGCATACAAGTTTAAGTTTTGGTTTTACCGATTTTTTATTTACTTCAGTTTAATGATTAGAAGAAGCTGCTTCATAAAATATTGCATGGAAATCATATTACACGTTAGCTCACTCTTCAGGCCAGTTTGAAGAGCCAGAACAATCCTTTAATTATTTTACTCCCACCACCTCCTTGCTTGCCTATATCTCTTTTCTGCATCTTTTTCGGCTCTGTAACCCCAAATTATCCTAAGCTAGAATGCTAATTGCTAAACGACTAAATAATAAAAAGCATTGCTGCACATTCTCTCAATTCTCCTAAGCCTGAACAATCGAAAATTGAATAAAATAATAAACCTGTAGACTGTAGCGTTGAAACGTAGAGGGCAGATGCAGTAGAGTAGCAGACGCTTCCTTTTCCTCAATCGGCAGACTGCAGATTCAAATGGTCAAATCACCCAATCGGCTGCCGCTATTCTGGAAATTAGGCTTTTGGCTTCATAACATCAACAAAATTCAAAACAAGGGTCATTTGGTGCCCACAAAGTGCGTAAACAAAATTGTACAGTGCTCATGTAAATAGGTAAGTGTAAACTACACATGGTATTTTTCTCAAAATAAAGGTATGCCCATTAAACTTGTCTCATTTTTTTCTTTTTCATCCGTCTCATTAAATTTGTTTCATATTATATTGGACAATATTTGTGTGATTCTAATTAATTCTTATTTTATTTTCATTTATCAACTTAATATCAACTCTACTTTTCTTAAAAATCATATCATCCCCACTTGTCCCAACCTCAAGGGACGAAGGAATTAATACTTCTATAAAGCAAACGACGTCGTTTGAATTAAGTAAAAGAACACTTTGCCCAACTACATCTCTAGGTTAACGAAAAACAAGGAGCAGGGAAGAAGAACTGAAGAAGACTTGACGCTATGGGGACATTATGTAGACAACCTGGGCCTAGTTCTAGACCGCCTATTTGTGATCCCTTGGGTTATATGAAAATATACTCGATCATGGGTCTCTCACTCCCTCAGAAGAAACTCTTCGAGGCGAGAGGGAGTAATCCGAGCTCTTCCTGCAACCTGGTTCATTCTGCTAAGCATCGCGCTCTTGCCCGGTTTGGTGAATACTGCAATCCTTACCCATGATGACACAATGTCTCGTTAAAAACTTACTTAGGAAAACAATTGTGGGGAAAAATTCTCACCGAGACAAAAGTACATTACCCCAGAAGCGGGTATAGGATTAATGGTAAACCCTTTCTAGGTCGAGAAGTAAGCAAGGTAGTTGGTGGGGTGGCCTTTGGTGAAGCACCGATTGTTCGGATACTTTGTCGAGGCTGAGGTCGAGGTCGAGGCTTGTACCTTCAGAATAGTGATGGCATTGGTGTTGCCAAGATTGATATCTGTGCTGAATGAACTCATTGAGTTGGCGACATGTTGGGGCTATTAGTACCTTGTTGAATTGCTTGATCGTCGAGCCTAGTGTGGCTGGCAATGCTTGTTGAGAAGTGTGATTGTCGACCCGATGTGGGATTATCTTGAAATTCATAAGGATTTTTGAGTCCGGTACTTAGAATCCCTCACTTCTTTTGAGTTCGTAATGTAAAATTAAAGATAGAAAGGAGTAAAAGCTTAATACTTGAGCTGCGTGGAGTCCCCTTGATCGGAATTCTAACACCTGGTGAATCTCCAGGTGCAAAGTTTGGACGGAAAGTGAAACATCTGGCACTTGAATTTTGAATTGATGTGGGGATACGTCTAATTAATTGCAATCCCATCATTAATAGTGACTTTTGAATGTTTAGGCAGCCGACTTGATGGTCGAAACTTCCTAGTGTGCATGACGTCACCACAACGGTTTTGTAGTATCCTTCCATGTGTGGATTTGGAAGATGTTTACTGCCCAGCTCGAAAAGGTGTAACGGCAAATGGTTGCAGCCTTTTTACACTTTCTTTGCGTTCAAACTTCTAGAGTGTTTCCCATTCTACACTTTCTTTGCATTCTGACCTCTGAAG